GTTTCTCAATCCTCCTCGTCACATCTCCATTGTGGCTCTACTCTTGTACCTACCAGCTCGGCCTTCAGACTGCTAACAAAAGTCGGCAAGCTCATTCAAGGCAAGACTTGCACTACGTAGCCTCCTCCTCTGAAGCTTGGGCCCTCGCCATAACTCCCTCGGTATGCCCCAACCAGGAGTGTGCTATGGTGTTTGCTTAAAAAAAAAGAGAAATGAGTAGATATATATGTGCGGAATGGAAACCACAACAACTACAATGCGGAAGGTCAAGAACATACGACCATAAGGCAATGCATGAGCTTCCCGCTGAGCTCACCGGGGTGTGATTAGTAGGGGTGTCAACGGTATTCGAAAATCCGATGTCGAATTCAAGATTCAACATAATCGAATCGAATTCGAAATAATTCAAATATCTAACAAATCAAATTCGGATATCCTATTCATACCGAATAGCTAATCGGATTCGAATTCGGATATGCCCTGATTCGCTTTGATAAAAATCTGAATTCAACCAATTATTTAACTCTTATATATAATATATAAAATTTTTAAATGTTTTATATAATTTATATATAATAATTAAATTATATAAATAATTTATATATTTTATATAAAATATTTATTTTATATATTTATTAATTACCTAAAATAATTAATTAGTCAAATTCAAATCGAATCGAATATTCAAATATTTAATTGGATTTGAATTCGGATATTGCCCAATCTGATTCGAATTTGATCCATTTATACCCCTAGTGACTTGTGGAGCTTTGTGACCTCTTCTGGAAAGACAACCTTCTTACTCTTCACGAGAGAAGTCCGAAAGTCCATGATGTTGCGTTTCTCCTTAGCAACAACCTTGGTGTTTGAAGCAGCAGTCGCCTTGGCCCCGAGTGATGGAAGAGGCTCCTCAAAAGATTGGGCGGCCTCGAATTCTAGAGATGTCCCCTCTGGCCGGTCTTCCTCAACTAGATCGACCTCCAGCACGACTTCAACTGCACTATGCCCATTTGGCTCGGGAGAAACAACCTGAGGAGCCTCTTAGGAAGTCACCTTCCTCTTCATGGTGTGGAATAGCCTGGAAGTTGGCATGCCCAACATGTTTCTTGCATGAGAAGTCAAAAGATGAGTCAAATTAGAAAAGGGAAAGGAAAATGCCCAAGCCTGGAACAACAACCTACTTAGAGGACTCAACTTGGCCTGGATCAACTTTTTCTCGACTAAGAATTCACTTAGCTTTGACCACCTGCCCACTAAGACCATACCCTTATCTGCATCCGTCCACTCAGCGTATCCTCCGGTATCCCTAGTCCCCTCTCTCTAGGTCGTTGGGAACGACCATCCGCCACTTCAATCAAGGAAGAAATACTTCCTCTTCCAGTCCACTACCTTGGAAGGGAAGCCATTCAGCAGCTTACACTTGGAGCAATAGGATAGGTAGTAGTTATACATTTCAAAGGGATTTCGCTTCAATTGGCATATGTCATGCGAAGGTCTTGACATCTAAAGGGAAGCCAACGTGGTGATAGAACGAGATGGTGTCGACCAAGGTTCTAATAGAATTGAGGTGAAGATGACCTAAACTGATGTTGTAGTAGTTCAACACCTTAGGAATAAGTGGATGAAAGGGAAACCAAAGACCCGCCCTTAGGGCCTCCTTAAAGATAGTGATCTTGTCCTCATCATGTTCCCAAGGGTACTACCCAAGGGGAAGGAAATAATAGAACTGGCCTGGGATCCTATTATGAGCCACAAGTTCGTAAACGTCCTCAGCAGTTAGCTCGGTGGAACCGAATTCTGACTTATTCTAGGTGGTTGACGGGAGGATGAGGCCCTCTTATGGGAACCTCATTGCTCTTGGGTTGAGGACCCCTCCTCATCCTGGCAGGTCAGACCCCTCTCTTTCTTGGACTCGACACTAGACATAGTGAAAAAAAGATAGGACAAAGGGAAGACGATTCACCTAAAAAATGAACAAACCAACCTTATCGATGACATTGATTACTTCGACAATGCCGAGATCCTCGACCTCAGAAGGAACCAGAACTTCAAAGTTATGGATGAAGGAAATGGACCCCTGAAGGTCCTATTTATAGACAGACAAGTTGAACTATGAATGACTGAGATTGGTTGGATCCAACAATCCTCGAAGACACGACGGTTCATATTCTGAGGTGAAATTAGTTTAGCGCATTTTTTACGTTTGCGGGACTTAATGACTACATAGTGTCTGTGTATGCCCAGAACATGACCTCATGGCCAAGCTGGATTGGTTGAGCCAATCAAATTTTGAACCATTGGCTAGACCACAGTCAAAGTTGTAACTCGGGCCAAATCACCTTAGGTTAATACTATTCCCTCATTGAGCTGATCATGCCAAACTTGGGAGTGGGGGCAATTGATGAGGGGTGATTTGGTCCTCCAATGATATCATGGCACATGGCATTATAGAACTGTCCATTGGCATCTCAACACCATGCAAGTAGAACTCGGACACTTGGCATTTGTCTCAACCTCCTTGGCCCCAGCTTGGTAGGACGACCTATGAATAGCTCAGGAGATGTCAGGTCGGCATGAAGAGGCGACCTACCTCCGCCGTCCTAGCCCGTGTCTAATTAGTGACTTGCTCGATGTGACGAGTGACTTCCTTCTTGAGTAGGTTATTGTCTCCGATTCCCCCAGGAGCACAATGACACATCGACAGAGCTGATCTCGGTCTTGCCCGCTTTAGACGAGACAAGATAAGCATTATCAGCTTATGTAGAATCCGTCTTTGGGCATGGAACCACCTTTGAATTAAACGAGCTAGAGATCTCAGACACGTCATCTTCCTCAGAAAAGGTACACACGACTTAACTCCCAAAGTCTACTTGCTTTTTTGCTTCCTAAGCTATTCACCAGTTTGATAACTTAAGCACCATAGTGCCCATCTTGGGTATAGTAACCCGTACATTCTAACACTGTTCTTTATAGCTCCACCAGGTGACCTCATTAACCCAACATTTGAGTTATCTATCATTAGAAAGCTACCAAATCGCACAACATCAATGCCCAAAAGTAGGAATGAAGAAATTTTGTTAGCTTCGCAAGGATGAAGATGTATCAAATCGTTATTAAGGGACCAATATCATTTTTGAAGGATTGACATCATAGAGACAAATTCAATTTCTCTAAACTTTTGATAGACTTTCCTTTAATGGAAATTTCAACCTTCTCTCTAAGAACATGGATTACAAAATTCCTCTCCCACTAAATAAGGTATACTACATATTATGATTTGAATTGTAGACTAGTTGAGGGGCAACACCAAGACTAGGTGATTCTTCAAACTTCTAGACAATAGGAGTCTCCTTCAGATTTCTTTTCATCATGGAAGAAACCTTGTGAAAGCATTAAATAGATGAAACTAACAGGTAGGCTCTATTACCCTACATCAACAAGATTTACATAATTCATTGTCTTTTGTGCCTACATCCCTACTCGTGTATTATGTATGGTAAATTATTGATATACCTAGCACCCTAATCTTGTTTTGTGATTGTAATACAATGAATATATATTATCATGATACCCTAATTAATTGGGCATTGCAAACCTTAAATTCATAGGTACTGAACTTGCAAGTCTAGGATTCTAGACTCGCAAGTGTATCTAGATCTGGAAGCAAACATTTCATTTGCTTTCACTAAGCTAAACTTGACATTGTCGTCTGTTTGGGTCATGGCTAAGCCGGCCCCGCAAAGACACGTGGCCACCCAGCTATTGCCCTGCCACGCCATCCTAGCTCGGCCATGTTGGCATAGCTCGGCTACGTTGGCCTAGCTCGGCCACGTCGGCATAGCTCGACCACGTCGGCATAGCTCGACCATGTTGGTGTAGCTCGGCCGAGCTAAGTTATTACTGTGGCCCCCCATCTTATCCTTCCAACCATGTCAACTACACGTCACATGAATGAGCATGACTACGGATAAGGAGGAATAAGGAAGACAACTCCGCTGGGGAATGAGACTCTATCTCGAAAACCTTGGTGGCTAACCTCATCCCGACAACCCTGGAAGCCCAATCCGACTAGGACACGGATCATCAACTATAAAAAAGGTATTCCATGCTTGAGGTAAGGGATCCAACTTCCAATACCTACACCACTACTTAGCTTGGACCGGCACCCCTATAGCTCGGCCTGGCCATCCATCACATCCTACTGACTTGAGCGTCAGAGTTCTTACCTGGGGATAACTCCTCGAGTCTCTGACTTCTGTTTCCTTGATCATAGGTCTTGAGGCACGGCCTCGTCCTTGTAGCTCGGCCCCGCCCTGCCAGCAAGGACTATTTGGTTGCTCTCCTCAATTCGTAGCTTAACCTCTTAAACGAGTGGAAAATGTAAAAGGGCATAGATAAGATTTTTATTCCAAAAATACCCCTAAAAATTCTCATATCACATGTAGTCAACCCTTTTTCCAAATAAAGTTATACAAGTAAGGAAAGTGTTTATTTATTTCCTAAAAGGTTGATAAGAGAATTATTAGGACTATTTTTGGAATGGAAACCTTGGTTAAATGCCTCTTCATATTTTTGGCATGCCTTAAGAGGTCATGTGGCCATTCTCAAGTGGAAATACAAATGGTTCTTGATAGAGGGTCAATTAAATAAAACATATGCAAACTATAGGGTGTTTTGGTAATATAAAAAGTTAGGAGGCATATTTTAATAAAATGTCTAAGTAAATAAACTTTTTGCGGAAATCGATCCCAAATCTATACTACAACGGGTCAGGGCATCAGTTTGTCCTCGGTGATTTTTTTTTTTTAATTTTTATTTATTTGGACTCAAATGGAAATAGATTCCTTTCCAAGGGTTGCCAATCCTCAATCAGAACAAGTCTTCTCTCATCACACGAAAGGTAAAACAGATTCCAATCAAGCGAATACAATAGGGTACTCCATCTGCGCACTCTTCTCTTCAACGGCTTTGCTCGATCTCGAGTAGACAAGGAGGTAAGCCTTTAGCCAACCGATTCTGCATATTGCATGACCTTTTATATACCTTGGCCATCTCTCTTCCCGCGCTTTCTCAAGTGTTACTCAGTTTGAGGAAGTCAGTTTACTGTATCTTGCATCCGGCACTATTTGAGGAGAGTAGAAGTATAAACCCTAATCCAGATAAGAGAGTTAAAACGAGATAAGCGACTTGCAGCTCAGTCATGGGAGTTTCAGGAATGTAAGAAAAAGTTTACAAAATATCACTTGTTCAATCATGTTTATTTCTCTTCTCGTCATATTGATCATCTATCATCGGTTCCTTATTTTTCACGAAGAAAACAGCGGGAGAGGTGGGGTTTCTTTCATTTAGTAGGTGAGTGTCTAAAATCATTGGCTGTTGGAACAAAGTCTATTCTAGAAAGGCCTTGTTATAATGTTTCTTGCCCCCTTTTGATATTCTTATTCTTGTTTTTCCCCGTCTGGTCTTCATATCTTTGTCAATACAAAATATTTGGCTTCATATTGCCATCAACTCTGTTATCTTATTTACCAGAAAAATGCCTTGATTTCTTGTTACCCGTCACTAGGTTCTACCGAGGTGCCTTATGCATTATCATTGATTTTTCTTCTTGATATAAATATTCAGATTTTTAAATACTTCTTTATTTGGTTCCGTGGTTGTTTAAAGTTCTATGAGATGCAACTGGTGATTACGATTGTGGTACAAAAGAAGAGCTCTTGATAGCAATCCCTGGCAAGATGACATTTTGGGGTGAGCTCCTCATACTTGCAATATATATATATATATATATTGTATTTGTCCAAGTCTCAAGTTAGTATTTTTTCCCAGGGATTGAAGTGAAGCCAGGGAAGCCATATACTCACCGGTACAATCGCGAAAGGCTTAAAATTACCCAGGTTAATTTTATGCCCAGGAGATGACTATAGATAAACTTGTTGCTTTCAATTTGATCAGTTTTAGACTGGTTATAGGTGATGCCTTTTGATGGAGTTCTCCTTGTTTAATTTCACATGAGAAATAATATTCTATGTTGTTGCAGGCAACAATGTCATATTGCAGTAGTCTCTCACCAAAGAAGAGTGTAGTTCAGTGTAATGTAGGGAATACAAGGCCAATTCTGTTATGTTCTCTGTTGCCTGATAAGATGGAAACATGCCATTTAGATCTTGAATTTGATGAAGAGAATGAAGTAGTCTTTTCTGTTCTTGGTGCTTGTAGTGTTCACTTGACTGGTTACTATTTGAACCAGACTTCCCACCATTCAAGTAGATATGATGATGACACGTATCCTTCTTTCTTTATTTTTGATTCACTAAATGTAGAAGATACTATTTTTTTGATAAATGTAGAAGATACTATTTCTTGTTTCAAACATATTTGTCTCTATAACATTTCCCACATTATTTTGTCTTTTATACTTTTGATGTTTTTATTATTAATAGGGAATAGTTTCTGTTTAATCAATATACAATTGTTATTAATTAGTTGGCCATGCGGTAAAAAAATATACAATTGTTTTTATCATACTAGAGAAAGTTGTTTCTTATGATAAATAAACAATCCAAGTAGAGTACATAGAAATAAGTTTCAATTGCTCATTTTATTACTTAGGTCAAGTATCATGTTTTACATTTTCCATGACTTCATTTAATATGATTTAAGAGATTCCTATGGGGAAGATATTGTTGATACTGAGAATGAGCAATCAAGCTCCAAGGAAAATGACTATGACCATGATGATAGTTTCATCAATGACAGTGAACCTGAATTTTACTCTCCGTCTCCTAAGAGTAAGGGTATGCAGTCTTAAGCCTATATATTTAATAAATAGATTATAGTATGTAAACCTATAATATTATGAATCATATGTAACGCATTAAATGACTCAATATTCATTATTTAACTGATTACATGGTTTACACCCACATTTACTTTTTGAGTAATAAATCTAGTAGTGAGTATTTCAATATTTTTTCTGTAGTTCATCATCATTATCATCATCTAAGCCTTGTTCTATTCAATGCCATATTTATTATGAAATCATGGCACTTAAACCATTTCTTATTACTTCAACTCAAGATATATTTTTTGTAATCTGTAGTTATTAATATGTATATATATGTGTGTGTGTGTGTATATATATATATATATATATATATTGACAATCTAGAAAGCAATTAAGCATGCATTTACCTATTGGATGGTAACAGTCACCTAAATCAGTGGCGCCAAAATGATTTTGGAGATTTTTTTTTCTAGTTAAAATGGATATCTGTGTGATTTAAAGCAAATTGACAGGTAAGAATGTATAGAAAAGGGAAAATAGAGTAAAGTTCTCCTTGTGTCCCAAAGGTTCACAATGCAGATGTAACATAGTTTGCATTAGTTGGTTTTATTACAAAAGTCTATCTTTTGATATGTAAGTACCTTGCATTCTAGTAGAAACTGAATGGATATTTCTTCGGTAATTAAAACTGAATGTACTATTTAACAATTACTGCCATTCTTGTTGCTTGAGTGTTTGTTAGATCTTAGATATATGCTGCATATGACCATAGCGATGTCATAATCATTGGTTGTGGAAAGTTGTTTTTTTTTTTTTTGTGGGGTTAAGTTGAAGTTTATACGCCCTGAATTTTATTTATGATTTTTTTTTTTATTTGCCATAAAGAGCTAAGCATACAATCATTAGTTCAATGCAAGAGGCTCCTGCCAATGTGGGGTTTGGGGAGGGGCAAGTATATGAGTTACAATATCTAGGTTTTATTGAGAAGAGAAGAGAAGAGAAGAGAAGAGAAGAAAGAGAAAGGTTCGAATGGAGAAGAGAGAGTTATTGTTTACTCTCTCAAACTTGGAATTTTATACTATTGAGAGAAATTACAAGAAAGCCCTCATATAGGTGCCCAAATACAAAAGAACAAAATGACAAGAATACCATTGCATCCAAACAATCTCAACACTCCCCCTCAAGTTGAGTGTATATATCAATCATGCCCAACTTGTCTAAGTTCTTGGCAAACTTTGATGATGAAGGCCTTTAGTGAGACAATCAGCCAGTTGGTCTTCTGACCTTACAAAGGGTAGGTAAATCTCTCAACTTGCTATTCTCTCTCTGATAAAATGTTTATCCACTTTGATATGTTTTGTACGATGATGTTGCACAAGATTGTGGGCAATGTTTATGGATGCTTAATTGTTGCAATAGTCTCATTGGAGTACCAACTTGAATGCCTATCTCAGTCAATAATGTCTTCAACCAGAGTAATTTTGGCACTCCATGGGCCATTGCCCTATACTCTGCCTCAACACTAGATTGTGCAACAACGAATTGTTTCTTGCTTCTCCATGAAACAACATTACCTCCAACTAAGGCACAATAATCAGATGTAGATCTTTTGTCATCAATAGACCTTGTCTAATTTGCATCTGTGTAGGCCTTAACCTTTATATGCCCATGGTTGGAGTACAATATCCCTTTACTAGGACATCCTTTCAAATAGGCTAGGATTCTATTAACAACTTTCATGTGGGAGGTTTTGGGCTCATGCATATATTGGCTGACCACCTTGACTACATATGATATATCAGGTCTAGTCAAACAGAGATAAAGAAGGTGGCCAACCACTATCTAAAAGACCCCTTTGTCTAGAAGAACATCTCCTTTAGTAGTACTCAACTTGTGATTTGGATCAATTGGAGTTTCTACAGGCTTGCATCCTAATTTCCCTGTTTCATGGAGCAAATAAAAAACATACTTTCTTTGAGAGAGGAAGATTTCCTTCTTGGATCTTGTAACTTTAATTACAAGAAAGTACTTGAGATCACCAAGATCCTTAATCTCAAATTTTGAAGCAAGAAAAGACTTTAATTGAGAGATACATGAGATGTCATCCCCAATCACAACGATGTCATCAACATATACCATCAACATAGTCAATCGACCATCGACCTTCCTTGTGAACAAGGTGTGATCAGCTTGAAGCTAAGAAAACCCAATCTTCAAAATAACATTTCTTAATTTATCAAACCAAGGTCTTGGGGATTCTTGAGGCCATACAAAGATTTCTTCAGATGGCAAACTTCCCCTTCACTGTTAGGGAGGCTTACCCTAGGAGGCAAGTCCATATACACTTCTTGCAGGTCCCCAATAAGAAATGCATATCTCACATCCATTTGATATAAAGGCCAAGAGAAATGGGCATCAAGTGACATAACCTCACGAATAGAATTCATCTTAGCAACAGGAGCAAAGGTTTCTAGATAGTCAATGGCATAGGTTTTGGTATATCCTTTGGCCACAAGGCGATCTTTATACCTTTCAATTGAACCATTAGTTCTGTGCTTAATAGTGTACACTCACTTACACCCAACAAGAACCTTATCCTTGGGACAAGGCACAATCTTCGAAGTATGGTTCTTTAACAAGGCCTCTATCTCTTGGTTCATAGCTTCTAGTGAGGAGGCTGCACTACTTCTATAACACTGCGAGGAATAGAAATAGAGGAGATGGCAGAAATATAGGCATAATAGGAAGGTGAGAAAGCATCATACAACACATAATTAGTAATGGGATACTTGATACATGTTCTCTTTCCCTTTCGAAGGGCAATAGGGAGATTAAGATTAGGGTCAACAATAGAAGTACTAGGAGGTTTAAGATTACTTGAGTCCAAGGGATTAGATTGTGGTGGGCATTCAACTTCAGTAGCCACCCTCTTACTGCGACGCCTAATGAGGAATTGCTGCCAGGATTAAGGTCGATGCACAAGAGGTGGAGGAGTGGAAGGAATGCCCTCATTACAAGGATGAGAGGAAAAAGAACTAGTAGACACAGAAACAAGAACAGGAAGGCAGAATGGAGTCCGATCTTCATTGGCAATCTCCCCCTAAAGAGGTAAATGGGATAACTGAAAAAAGGATGAGAACTCAAGGAAGGTAACATCCTTTGAAACAAACCTCCGACTAGATTGAAGATCAAAACATCTATAACCTTTCTGAATAGGAAAGTAACCAAGGAAGACACATTTAATAGTGGGCCCATTCCAAGGAGTGGAAGGAATGCCCTCATTCGAAGGACTTATATCACGAACAAAATAGACACATCCAAAGACCTTGAGAGGTAAATTGAAAGTGGATTCATCAGGAAGAAGAAGCTGGTGAGGGGATCGAAGATTTAACACCATTGATGGTAGTCACTTAATAAGATGCACAACAGTCTCGATAGCATCTCCTAGAAATGAGTAGGAACGTGAGTTTGGAACAATAACCCATGAGAAACTTCAACCACATGTTTGTTCTTCCTCTTAGCAACCCCATTTTGCTTTGGAGTATGACTACATGAGCTCTGGTGAATAGTGCCCTATTCTTCAAGAAACACATGAAGGTGGTTTTCAAAGTACTCCTTTGCACAACACTATAAGATCTTATTATCTCAATTCTTTTCTTAAATTGGGTTTCCACCATATTCATGAAATTTGAACAATCACAGGAACTTTATCACATTGTTTCATCCATAGTTGTCAAAGCGACGCCTAGGCGACAAGGCGCCCTTTGAGGCTTGCCTTGCCTAATCGCCAAGCAGTTTTGTACTATGTATTGTAAAATACGTTTTTATTCTTTATTTTTTGACATTATGAAGAAATAGTTGGTTAGCCACGAGTGTGGAGTTCCATACCCACACTTAGGCTCTAGTGTGTGTGGTTTCATACCCACACCTAGTTGTTTCTAATTTCTTTTAGTAGTAGTTTCTAATTTCTTTTATTAGTAGTTTCTATTTTCTTTTATTAGAAGTTTCTATCTTTTAAGTTGGGCTGGATGGCCTTATTGTTTCTAATTTTTGTTTATTTTCTATTCTTGTAAGGAACCTAAAGCTATAAATAAAGAAGTGTATGGGGCGGCAGATAATTAACCACCGAACCCCTTCTTTTTTTTCTCCTCTCTTCACTCTTGTTCTTCTTTTTCTTCTCTCTCTCTCTCTCTCTCTCTTTTTCTTCTCTTCGAACCTATATTACTTCTCTAATACAATAAACAGTTCTTCCTCTTCTTCTTCTTTCAAGTTGGTATCAGAGCCTTTGATATAGGGTTTCTCATGTGGATTTAATTCAGCCGACCACATTAGAATTGTTTGAGGCTGAAAGTTCAGAAAGATCCTTACTTCGGCTGATTCTTAGAGGTTGCAAGAAGGCTTTAGCAACTGTCCTAAGATTGGAGAGAGCTTCTTGTAATCCGGAAGAATCAGGCATGAACTAAGTGATCAAGATTGATTCTTGATGAAGATTGGAGGTGCTGATAAGCTTTTCTTGGTTCTTTAATCAAGATTCAAGGTGTTGACACTAATAAATTGATCAAGTTTGAAGACTGAAGGTAGCAATCAATTTTCTCGGAATTTTTCTTCATAAAGTAAGTACCTTTTCTTGAGATTGATACTCAAAAGGACTTTGTTATTCATTCAGAGAGGTACGGATAGAAAATCTCAGGACTGATATCAATTAGTCCAGGATTGATATCAATCCTAGGACTGTAGTTGACTGTTATCTAACTGCAAAATCATTGTCCTAGGTCGGCTGTTATCAGCCTTGAAATACAGTTTTTCTTGTCATAGTAGTTTAAAGCCTCTTCTTAACTTAGAATGGAGTACGAGAACCAAGGGGAAGGTGTTTTTGGGACTAGTGGTTTAGGTAACATGGCTGAAAACACCTTTTAGACTACAACTGTTAAGTTTGATGGATGAAACTACTTGGAATGGGTCCAATCAGCCATGATGGCTATTGGGGGTAGAGGAAAATTGAAC